TCGGCTATCATGCAAAAATTTTTTTAAAAAAGAAAATCCTTGTAAATCCTTATTTAAAAGATGTTAAAAATTTGAACGATAATTAATTTAAGGTAATAAAAGATAATTAAAGAGTGTACTATTCAAAAATATCAAGAGTTTTGTGATTACTTTTGCGGTTTATTGTAAAATTTGTTCCAATAGTTCGAAAGAATCCGTATCCAAATCGGACCTATACAAAAAACACTAAAAAGATGAGTAAGCCAGCTAATTCATAGAAGAAAGGAGGTTCGCCATAACTTGGTTGTAATATTGGTGATCGACTAACTAGATCTGGTCTAAAGAACACTAAATCAATAAAATATCATGTATCATCAGACTCAGACTTGATGGAATTTTTTATTGATTTTATTTCTAATAATATAAACTGTATTTTTATTTTTGAATCTTAAATTGCTCGTTTTTATTCAATATTAACAAAAATTAATTAAAATATTTTAAAATTCTATCTAAAAGTCCATAGGAGAGGTCTGATTTGGAACTACGAATTCCAAATCGGACCGGAAAACGTATTTTTACATTTTTCATTATAGTTCCACACAAGTAAGAGATACGTCAAAATGGTATGCGAAAATGAAGGAAATTAAATGATCTTTCGAACGGCATCATTGGTTTTATGATCGGACTTTATTTACGACTTATAGAGAACAAAAACTGCAAATAGGTACGATTTAGACTACTTTCCCTTATATAAGATTATATTAATTACTATATTAATTATTATATTAATCACGTATATGTGTAGTGATGGAATTATGATTACATTGAAATAATATTGAAAACAGAAATAAATATAAATTATAGCAATATCCAAAATGATGAAAAAAATAATTCCTGGTTGCTTATAAATAGTTACAAATTATTAAATGTTTAAATAATTAGTAAAACCAAAAGAACTAATAAATTACTTACCTTATAGTTGCTTCGTCATCGCCTGATGTTTCTGAGGCTTCCTCTTCATTTGTTTGTTATACATATATAGCGCAGCATTCACAAAAACATAATAATGATTATACGAACGTATTAATTACCAGACTAAAGTGATAGAATAACATTTTACTTTTAATGCATTCATACGCAGTGACATTTTACATTTTCGATAATCACACGCGTGATACTTTATTATATTGTGGAGGAATAAAATGAAAAATCAAAAATGGTTCTACTGACAATTGTAAGTCGCATAAATTAATATAACAAATAAAATATCAAATAGTGAAAAATTTTAACAAATCACAAATAACGCATGAATGATGAAAATGACAAGTAATGTTATAAATAATTAAGTAATTAGAAATATTTGAATTTAAACATTGTATTAAGGATGTCATGTCGTTTGCGTAAATAAAATAATAATTTATTATTCTCTCATTTCCTGTCATATCGAATCCCTAAAATAAATTAATTACGCGAAATATTAGCTTCATTAGATACCTAATATATTTACAATTATTAATCGCAGAAGTTAATTAATTGCATCAACTAATCATAATTAATCGTTTGTAGAAAATAATCGCATACCGAAACAATCAAGGCTGCATATCAATAAGTCTAATATTTAACAAAATATTGAAAGTAATCTGAAATAATTGCACACACACTAAACATTCTACTTCTTGCATTTTAAATTAATTTTTGAAACACAGTCGATACAACATGGCTTTTTATTACTCAAGTGACTCAATTCCACAATTCGTACATTATTTTGCGTTATCAATTTTAAAACTATAATCAAATTACATTTGAAACGAAAGTTTAAAACATAGGACATATTCGAGTTCAAGCAATGCTGAAGAGACAATTATCGCCCGTAAAATAATGATGATTCATATGTAAATAATTTATAATTCTCGCTCGTCGTATAATTTCATCACGTCTTCAAACGAATAAATTGTGTAAAATAAAATATTTGCTTCAAAAGAGCAATCATTGCGTTCCAATAAGTTTTTACAAATTTTCAATCCCGCGAGATAATTTACAATAATAATTACAAAGTATCCCGACCTTTTAAGTATTTGTGTAAATACATTTCGAAGGAAAATAAGATGATTCACAGAGCGACTCATGCTATCACCTATTTGCTCGAGTTTTAACACAAGAATGACAGCGTGATGGTTTTGCTTATGACAAAAGTCATATGTACGATTAAGAGAGTTTAGAATGGAAATACATTATTTGAATCTTAATTGTCGAGAGATTTTATTCTGTTTAATATGTAATATACACATAAACATATATATATATATATATATAATTAATAGCAAATTATTTAACTATTACATAAAGTTATTTAATTTTTTTACTTAATGACTATTTAAATGGTTAGATTAATTACTTTATTTTTTAAAAAAACTGTTAAATTTATTGTTTAACAATAAAGATTATTGTCATTTTAATCGAAAAATATTTTTTAAAATCTAAGTTTTAAAGAAGATCTAAGTATTAGACATCTATTAATCAAATTCAGCACGTAAATAATTGTTTTTTTTCTCCGGAAAAAAGAAGCTTTAAAATCTATTAAAGTATACATCCTCATATGAGCTTTTCTCTTAAAAATCGATTATCGGATTGCAAGCAAAAAATTTAGACTATTCTTCATTCAAATCATGATTGCAGATATGACGAATATTAAATTGATTCCCAAGATATTTATTAAACCATATAATGTCTCAAGTAATTAAGTAGAGATGTAATTGTAAATACGGGCATAAGAATATTACATTTTGTGTATCGAAGAAATACTCATAAAATATCGATTTATGGAGTTGACAATTAATTATTTATATGTTACATAAAATAATAGAGCAACATGCGTATTATTAGAGTTAACCGTAAATATCAATTTTATTTTTTTCACAGCAAATGAAAAGCGAGCTGGTAAATTAGTAGAATTGTTTCAGAAATTACTCGAAAACGCGGTTAACTGTGAACGAATTATAAAACGTTTCAACTGCCCGTTTGCGCAGAGTGGCCAAGACATACGTTAATTATTCACATAATTAATTTTGTTGCGACTCACGTTGAAGTACGACATTCCGAATAATAGAAATATAGTGTGTGGTTGGCCGATTCAAACGCACGCAGCTCTGCAAAACGATTTTGGACCGATTAACTAGCGGATTCGCGCTCGGCCTGCATTGTCTACGATGAGCGAGAACTAGAAATGTCGAATCAACGGTGCGCGCGGTTGAGGTATTGTTAGTTTAGCTATACTATCGTGTTCGCTTGATTTCCACTGGCCCATGTAACATCCAGAGAAATCCGGTAATGTTAAAACGTGTAAACACATGTAGCGTGAATCTGCGAATGGCAGCGAAACTGATTTGCAAGTACAACTATGAATTAACGGAATGCTTTTATCATAAGGTAAATGACATTGCGTTGTTCGTTTATTCGATCTGCATTACACGATTTGTCGGAACCATTATCACCGCGTCACGAAGCAGTGATGTGTCAATTTCACGATATATAATACATATTTGTATAAATTGCATTGGTTGAATATATAAATGTGTAAATTAAATATGAAGTTTTTTATCATGAAAAATTAAATTTTTAATTTGTTCTAGATTAAGTTGAATTAATTTAATCAAGAGGATTTAATTATCATTGCAGAAACAAATAAAAATAGAAAAATATAAAAACAATATTCTTTAATGCATTCACGTATTAAATAAATATTTATGTACTTTTACATGCAAATATAGCAAAACAAATATATTGTAGTAAATATTTGAAGAAAAAACATCGTCAATTTTACAAATCTAGTAAATGTTAAGAGGACCTGATCATAATACGTATTTATTTATTCAACTCGCTATAGATGTAAAAGAATTGAAGAAAATAATAAAAGTTTTTATGAGAATGCAAGAGCTTTTCTAGAGAAGATTGTGTGTGTGTGCGCGCGCTAAGAGAAAAAAATACCAGAGAAAGAATATTTCTTGGAAAGAAGAATATTGCGTAGAAAACCTAAAGACTTTTTTTATGATATTGCGGAAACAGTCACCTAATCTCTAATAATTAAGTTTTATGTATAAACGACGAGTTTGGCATGCGGCCCAACACGTCAATTACTGAAATAGACACCCGATTGATTGATCGAAATACGCGGATATGTGTGTCGACATTGTTCTCGGTCACCCAGCTCAGCAATCTATGTGAGCCGCTTGAAGGGTGTTTGGACTGCGAATTCTATCGAGTTCAAGTGAGTTGAAACCATTTCCTCGTTCGTTGATATCATTTCACAAGTTCCCCTCAGAAAAGCATTTCGCCGCTTCTATAGAGAAAATGATTTTCTCTCTCTTCGTTAATCCTTCGTTGGATATTGGATTGTGTAAATATGTATAATATATTCACACAATCTGATTGATTTATATCTGCATTTATATATGTTATATGAAGTACGATCTATATTATCGCTTCTCTCATATAGACATTTTGATCAATTTGCTATTTAATTTAATTTGATTAATAGATTGTGTTGAAATTATTTCTACAGATTTCCATAACTTTTTATAATTTTTCAACAATTGACATTAAATATTTTGCTATTGTGTAATGTAATTAAACTAATCAATTATAAATAAACGATTGTAATAATTTTATAAAATTATTATAATTTAAAAGTATTCAATATTCAAATCTAAAGATCGTCAATGTACGAACATAACTAAGACGAATACGAAGCCTACAACAGTCTAGCTTGGATCTTAATTATTTATATATAATTTCGCGAATTTATATACTAATATGTGTATAGTGTCTTTCCAAACTGCGCGCCGAACAATTATCGGTCTTGAAACTCAATTCTAATAAACTACCGTAGTACTATCACGAACTAAATTGATTAACAATTTAATAATTAATTGATGCTCTTTTTGGCATTTTATATCGATGTTAAACTATATTAAAATCTGAAAATACTAAATCTGGAAATAATTCTTTTTTATTGCGAAAAATATTACCTCGGCCGGGAGTCGAACTCGGATCGCTTGCTTTACGCGCAAGTGTCCTAACCAATTAGACTACCAAGGCCTTAAAATATATTCTTTATCCATGAATATTAATCAGTTGTTTAAAAAATGAAAAAGACATTTCTTTAAAAACCTTTATTGATTGCAATAATCGTATTTACCAACTTTTTGGTTAGATAAATTATTTAGTAAAATTGTTGTTTAATAAGTTTTGTATTACATACCTAAAACGAATTAGTTAAATGTAATATCTTCGAAATTTTCTTTTAAAAGCAAGAAAAAGATATATAAAAATAGATATAATTTTAACCGAGCAACCGTGAGGTTTCATCTCCGCCCGAGGTGGATATTCAATCAGCCGAGCTAGAAGCGCCAACTTCCTTCGTTAGATCTAAATAGAAGGCTCCGGTCTTATAGAGACGAATTATTCGCAAGTCGGAGAAGCTTAGACCTACGTGTGAAGATGATTCATCGTCGGAAATCTACATTAGACGAGTCTGAAATTGTTGATTAGTGAGTATCGAATCTCACTAATCGAAGATTAACTTTCTCAACAGTCGCCATTATGACATTACGGACACCTGTGTGTCCTCGTGTACATTTTATTGCACGTTGATCGGTGATTTCTCATGCGATATCCGTTCAGTGCACTTAATCATGTATTATCATGTATCTTGTTGGATAATACCTTTAGATAAAACTATACGGATTGTTTCACATTTAGCATGCAACACGTTTCGTTTATGCTCCCTTTGATCGATCTGAGGTCGATTTTATCTTAGTTAAAATGTCAGGAGAGACTTTTATTTGTGTTCTCGATGTTATTACAGATATATTTGCAAATTTGCAAAGTCCACTTGAAGTTGAATTAGGAATGAGATTTTACTGCATTTGCATCTCTGAAGCTAACTTCTCATGAGACCTGCACTTTGTCTTTAATCGTTTATGAACCAAAAACTATTGATCTTCCATAAAGACAAGCAAAGCAATTCACGTATTAAAGGAAAGTCAATTCAAAATTCTATATCAAAGAGATATTTACAAATGTCTTGAAAGATTTAAGGCAACCCGTATATAAGGCAACCTGTTTCATTATCGACTTCCGTTATCTATAAAAATTTTACCGATAAAATTGTGTACTGAATGATATAATTGTTTTGCACGGAAGATTGCACTGCAAGATTCAATCTCTTTTATGCTGAAAATACAATTCCGCTCATGATTTTTCTCACAATCAGAACTTTTACAAGCTAATTGTGACGTAAAATAGTTAAACTAATTGAGCTTTTATAAAGTGCCTTTGAAACTTTATTCCGCTATTAAGGAAATTAAGATGTTTGATCAATATTGTCAAATTATGATTTCTAATATTATTTCTATTATTAAATTGTTTGTTACAATGATCGAACACATAAAAGAAGAATTTCTCATATATAATAAAATGTGTTTTTAAATAAAGATTTTATTATCTTAAAGAATAGTTCATTGCTGTAAATAATCATGTGCTAAAATATGCTAAAGTATATTTTGCTGAACGTGTTTTCTCAATAAAATAATATCGTTATGATGGAATGACATCAACTTGTTACTGTCGCGAACTTTTGCTGAAGTAAATGGTCTCTCTCTCTCTCTCTCTCTCTCTCTCTCTCTCTCTCTCTCTCTCTCTCTCTCTCTCTCTAATTAACGCGACAAAGTAGCTGCGCTTTCAAGTAATATTATATTGTACTTTCAGCAAGCAATATTAAAATAAACTATTTAAATCTGTGCAATATGTAATTAAAATACAAAAACAAAAAGATCAATATATTAACGATATTTAAAACTCTTAGTTATCTTTTGTAAAACAAAATTTACCAATATAAACTACAGTAATAAAGAGATTTAAATTGCAATTTACGTAAATTTAATTTATAGATATATAAGTAAACCTATAATATGAAAATAATAAAGAAAATTAATTTTCAGAGTTATAAATAAAAATAAATCGTTATCCTTTATTCAATCTCGAATAGACTTTACTTCAGAATAATCGAAAGTCGTTTGATACAAGAAACTTTAAAAAAGAATGCAGATAGAATCTTTTGTTACGGAAAGATCGATGTTGGATGAATAGATGAAAAGAAATACGAAGAATCTGAAACTCTTTATAACACTCTATTACGTAATGTTTTATATGTTTACGTAATACTTTTTAATGTGCATTACGAGGATATTTTAATATGTGTATTTGGTATGAATCGTTAACCAATCATACGTAACTGTAGTCCACTGACTAAAATCGATTAGTAAACTATTTCACGTGAGCGGTAGCTTCATATTTTTCGCCTCCTGATGAATTATTCGCGAGAATACATCGGATGATGAATCACGCTACATTTTTTATTTCTGCACAGTGTAGGCCGGATACACGAAATAAATAAATGAGTGTTAATTGCACTGTATCAATAAGAGTGATTGATGGTACTGTCTAAGTTTCTGCGTAAATCAGAAGATATGTAAATGAATAGCTCAAAGAAAAGATCCTCTCACAAGAGAAAAGAAAACAAAAATAAAAATCTGTTAAGTATTATTTTATAAAAATTAGTAATTTATTAAAAGTTCTTATTGGAACATGCAATCGCATATTACATATTTATTGTTGTATTAAACTATTTCTTCTTATAGAATTGCGTGATGTTTTACACTGAAGATAAAAGCTTCTATAATTTAGTACTATATACTTATAACTATTATAAATTTTAAATTAAGTATATATATTTATATAAACGTACATTTTTTTTAGAATATATATATTTGTTCAAATATGTATAAATCTTTTTTTAAAATAAAATAGAGTGTAAATTTTACAATTAAGTCTATAATGAAGAATGGAGTAATAAAAACATTTGTATGACTGCAAACATTTAAATGACTAATGTTTTACTATTGTCTATTTTCATAAATATTAATAATTTGGAAATGATAATTTTATTATAAAAATAAATAATTTAAAATAGGAAATTATGTGTTCTGTATGGCTGTAATGTGTAAATATATCCTATCATAAATAAAAACATATTTACTATGCATAGCAGGTTTTCGTTATAGAAGTAAGTCACGAATTTCTTTGCTGCATTTCCAAGTTGTCGATTGCTTTTTGAAGATAAATATAAACAAGATGTTGTTTACACCTATAGAATTCGCTTTAATATTCAACAAAACGTATTTACAAGTTAAAGTTTATTGAGTGATATTTAATCAAAGACTATTTGCACAAATATTAAGTGCAATATCATGCGTTTTTCTTCTGATTGAAGTGCTTAATATCTGTTTGCGTTTTATTGTGAAGCATTCGGGAGCAGAACATGCCACGATTCACTCGTCCTATTTTTATTATTTTTTGTTCCGTACACCACATATTCCTAGCTGATATTGCGTGTGCAAATTATTTCACTGCAAACCTGACGGAGAGAAACCATCAGCGAAATCTACATGGTTGGAAAAAAAATGTGGATATATCGTTGATTCTCATCCGAATGAATGAATGCGCGTCTCGCAGGCGATAAGAGCGAGAAACAGGATTGACATAAAAGTTTTGCGATATTTCTTCCCGTGTAAATCGCAGAGAACAAGGTACAAGGAGTAGGCGGAACAAAACGATCGCGTTGTAAGATGAAAGGAAGGAAAGCTGCTGGGATTGCATGAATTTGCAGACTGATAAAGCTTAAAGTGTCTCATTCTGTTATACTTGTCTTCGTCCAAACCCCACACATTTCGGGAAAATGAGCATTCAAGGCAAGACAGAAATCCAGAAATGAGAATAATGAAATATGTCACAATCAATTTCTTCATTCTAAAGAGCGGCGTAACTTAGAATTTGTTAAAAAAAATATTTTGCGATAATACAATGTGTTTGAAATCTAATTTGTAAGTATAATGATAACTCGATCAATAAATGTATATATTCATCGTATTAAATCAGATTTATTAAAATTTATTCATTGCATAGTTACTTTTTCTTTATTTTATTTAGTTTTCTCTATTTTTTATACGCAAAATTATTTATCAAAATTTGTTTAATCAGTTCTTTTATTTAATATATCCATTTTATTAGTGTTTAATAAAAATAATACCTATAGAGATTGTTTTGTTAGTTTACAGATTATCTAAAGTATATTAAGATACATTCAGAAAGCGTTTGGAATAATTATTTAAATAGTATACGATGAAAGCTATTTTCATGCGCTTCCTACGATTACCGAACTGTAGTAATTTTACTCAAGAGCGTGATTAAGGACACTTTCTACATCTTGATCTGAAATTAGTAAACGAGGAAGTATGATCTGTGCGATTTCCATGTCAGGTACAAATGGCTGACAGTGTCGTCTTCTGAAAAATGTGCTTCGCGCACGCAATCCTTTAATTATTTTAACCATCTGGGATCTAGATACAAATTGCATTAAGGTTATATCTATATATAAATTCGGGATATATCAGTTTGCGAATAAGCTTTTGTCTACAAATTGTGATATGTTATTATTTTGCATAACATCTTCCTTTTTTTCGCTTTGTAATATTGTAACAATTATAACTTTATAGTTTAAGTTTAAATAATGAATTATGTTACTGTTACTATTTCATGATGCTAGTTAAAAAGTTATGATGCATTCATTTCCAAAGCAGAAGAGAAATCTGATATTCTTGAATAACGTAATAACATCCGATGCTAATTGGGGTCTCGTTAAGGGACAGAGAAAAATCCTTTTCTTTTTATACAATTGTATTGGATTCGTTCTAATCAATTCCGTTTATGAATTATATTCTTTCCATTTTCGGCATTGTTTCACGGTTCATTGTAATGTAAATTTGTAAGTATCTAAATATGCCAAATAAACATTTTATTATTTTATATTGTGCAGAATCCAATTTCCTTTTATAATTTTTTTCTAAATAAAATAAAAACTTTTTGTTGCAAGACAGTAAAGTGCATTTTATTAAAAGATAGTGAGTATTTTTAAAACGTTTCAATTTATCGTCATTGAATCGTTGAGAGATAACGATATCGTCATGCAGTTGTATTAT